CGCCAGGGGGGCTGCTGCCGCGGGCGCTTGGGCCCCGACTGGGTTGGGCCGCAGCGGCTTGGACGTCGTCGCGGTGGCTCCCGCGACGCGCCCTCGCACCCAAAACAAGTTGTCCTGTCGCAACAGGGGCGCGTTGGCGATGCCCTCCGGCGGGCTGAGCGCCGCGGGCACGATGTACAAGCCCGTCGGGGAGGACAGCGCAGAGCGGCCGTTGTCGCGCGCCTCGGCCCCCCGCGATGAGGCGCGAGACGTCGGCGACCTGGTGGTCGACGCCCGCTCCGTGCACGCCTGAGCTGTCTAGCAGGTCGTACTGCACGCTCTTCTCGCCGTAGCGCGTCGCGCGCCTGTCGTCCGCGGCGCGGATGTCGCAGCACTGGGCAGGCTCACGCATCGCCGCGCTCGGGGCACGGCTGCGTGGGCACGCCGCTCTGGAGGCCCCCGAGTCCACCATGACGTATTCGTCGTAGCTCTCGTTGTTGCCTCCTGGGCCGCCAGCCCGTGGAGCTCGCAGCATCGAGGTCCGATTCGCAAGATCAGCTGCCTGGGCCACCAGGCGCAGCACCCACTGGATGGCGGACGCAGTGTCTCCCGCTGCCCCGCCGCCGCCTGAGCTGGCGCTGCCGCCGCTCGGAGCAGCCGCTGAGCTCGCCGTTGACAGCTGCGCGGCGCTGGCACGCGCCTGCGCGGCGCTGCTCGGCGCCACGGACGGCGCGCTCGACGCTGCTGGGCCCGTCGCAGGCGCGCGCAGCTGAACCAAGTTCAGCGCGTCCTTCAGCTCGATCGCATTGCTGGCTGCGCTGTTCACTCTCGTAGTCTTGCCGGGGCAGTCTATCGTCAGATGGCCTTTCTGATGGTACTTCCTGCACGCGCGTGTCTCGACGCGCTGACCATCATTGCCATATCTGCCCTTGCCGTCCTTCTGCGTCTGGTGCTGGGTTCGGGGGTCCCTGTTTCCGTCGTAGAGCACCCCGCATTTCTTCTTGCCGCCGTCTCATCCTTTGCTCTTCCCTTCCTGTCCCGTGTCCTTGCCCTTCTTGATGGCGCCCGCGACCATCGTCACCTCGGTTGGCGCCGCCCCTCCTGCTGCAATCGTCGCCGCCAGGGGCCCGATTTCCATCGGTGCTGGCCCGCTGTCGTCCGCCGCGGTGGCCCCCGCTGCGGCGCCTCTTGCTGCGTCCCTGAACGTCTTCCTGTTCGCCGGGCACGTCCTCGCATGCTTCGCGGATCCGTCGCACTCCCCGAGGCGGTCGGCGTTGACGACCATCGGCCACTGCCGATGGGCCCTTGCCATGGTTCCCCGCGACGAGGGCCGCCGCCCTGATGTCGCTGGGCACCGCGCTGCCGCACCGCTCGCGCGTCTGGGCCGCCGCGTCGAACTCGCCCACGTCGGTCTCGATCGTCGCTGCTCCGAACGTCCACCCCATCAGCTTCCTCATCCGATCCAAAGCTGACGCTGGCTGGTCGGGCTCGAACTCCTTCGCGAGCTTGCGCCGCGCCAACGGTCCTTCGCCCTTCGGGATCGGCCGCTGCATGGCGAACGCCTTGCCTTCCAGGAGCAGCACGAGCACGTGGCACAGCTGCCGGAACACGCCGGCGAGAGCAGGGCTCGTCAGGTCCAACGAGTCGTTGGTGACGCCCTCCTCGGCCTTCTGGCCGACTGTGACCATCTCCTGGTGCAGGTCGTCGTCGAGCGTCGCGATGTGCGCCAGCAGCTTGAACGACCACGCGGACCACGCCGTCTTGCTGCCCTTTGACTGCGCTGGCTCCGTCAGCAGCCTCGCGTCGATGATGCCCCACTTGCGTCGATCCTCTGGCCTCGCTGACGCTGGAGCTGCCGCCGCGGTGGCCCCCGCTGCAGTCAGCTACTGGAGGGCTTGCTGCATCTGCTGAAGCTGAGCGTTCTGCTGTCTGGCTGTCGCGTCCGCTCGCGCCCCCAACTCCGGGCTCGCTTCGCGGCAACTTCTGCTCGAGCCGTCACGGTCCGCGGCGCGTCCATCACCTGTTGGGCAGTCGGCTGCGCCACTCCTGCTGCAGCCGCGCCCGCGCCTGCGGGGTCGACCGCTGCCTGCTGCGGCGCTGCTGCTTGCAGCTCCTCCTCCATCTTTGAAACTCCGCGTTACGAAGGCCGCGTAGGCTTCGCTTTCCTAGGGCATGAATGAGTGGCCGTCCTCGTCTACGACGACGAGCGGCCAGGCGTTGCCCAGCTCCTTGTCGAAGACGACGACCCCGAACACGCGATGCGCGAACGTCGGCAGGTCAATCTCGTGCCCGACGATCTTCTCGACGAGGCCCAGGGTCGACTCCAGCAGCCTGCAAACGTCTCCCCGCCGCTGTCGTCGCCAGGCGGCGTCCTCAGACAGCCGCCTCCCTCGCTGCTTCCGCTCCGTCGCGGCGGCGCCCGCCTAGGCCACGCTTCGGCCTGCCAGGGGTCTGGTAAGGCATTGCTGCCCTCCGCGGGCCGCGGCTCTTCCGCTGACCGCTGGGATGCCCTCCGCGGCCTGCGAAGCTTCCCGCTGGCCGCTGGGCCAGACGCGGTCGCCCACCGCGGCCCGCGGAGCCTCACGATGGCCGCTGGCCCGCCCTCCGCGACCTGCGGAGCCTCCCGCAGCCGCTGGGCCAACACTTCCGACGCAGAGCCCGTGGATCCTCAGGCCACGGGCTCCGCTACCATGCGCGGCACCCCCCTCGGAGCCGCGATCATTGTTGATCCAAGAGGTCTGCGGTCTTGCGCCCTCCCAACATTCCTGAGCTATCTCAATAGCCTTGGCGGTGTTGCGATAAATGGTTCGCAAACTGCGTGGTGCAATGTATGCGGCACACGCTATGTGAAGCGATACATGGGAAATATATGTAGTGCAATGTGTGGCGTTCAATCTGCGTGGTGCCATATTTGTGGTGCACTCTATGAGGTGCGACCGATGTAGTGCAATCGATGTGGCACAATATATGCAAAGACATCGATGCTGGCAAATGTGTGTGCGGTCATCTATGTGCTGCAACCTATGTGGTGCAACCTATGTTGTGCAATGCAACGCGATGCAAAGCCTCGTAATGCAAACTAGAGCGCGGCGGCGACGAGGCGGCGACGGGGCGGCGACGGCGACCACATAGCCGACAGACCGACGCACAGGCTTAGAAGATGGGCGGCAACGAGAAGGCGACGGCGACCACATAACCAACAAATCGACGCACAGGCTCAGTTCCTTCGAACAGACATGATAACTCCTGAGTGCAAGCGCTGTTCGGGGAACGATAGTAGTGACCAGCCCAGCAGAAGAAACACATCCTGGCGAAAGGTTCGAAATCCCGCGCAGCTGCGTGTAGCGAAGGAATCGACCCTCTCCTGAAGAATTACGTGCCGCGGGATGAGAGGACTTCGGGGCACTGGAGGTAGGGAGTGCATAGCAAGCGCACAGAAATGCACGGATTTCACCGTGGGACACGATTTGTATGAGGGGCGTGCCGAGATGGGCGGGAGGCGGCATGAGGGCACGCGCGCTGGGACCGTGAGTGGAGGAGTTCCCAACAGGGGAATGAGACATGCGCGGGATGCACAGAAATTGAATTGGATGTAGGAGGAGAGCAGGCAGGAGTGAGTGGGAGGGGGAGGAGGAAGGGGGCGCGCGGCGCCGCGGATTCAAGAAACGAGGATGGTCAACGAGGGCTTGGGGAAACAGTGGCACATCTCAGACGTTGGCGTGAAGGGCTGGGTCGGCGACGCGCAGCGGCTTCGGGAGCGCGGGGGTCGAATGGCGACGCACTCGTCGCTCTCGCCCCTCAACCGTCGTGACAAAAGCCACGACGCCGTGGGATCACTGCAGGGGCCCTCGACTGAGTTTGCGCTAGGTCTCTCGCGTCGACTCGACCCGCGAGGTCTCTCGATAGGGGTTCGAAGCCGGTGGCTACCCCCGGGGGCGGTAAGGGCCTCAGCCACCGCAGTTGTGGCTTGACTGGCGCTAGTACCGCCACGTTCAAGCCCTCGTCGAGCTGAAGCCAGTCACGGGGGTCCCAACCTTCGCCCTCCGACGACGACGACGACTACGATGACGCCGACGAACCAATGACGACGACGACGACGTCCACGCCGAGAGGCCACGCGGCCGCAGCGTGAGGTAGCTTTGATCCCTGGGCGTGTCGCTGACGGTCACGTGCGAGGATTACGAGGCGCGCCGGAGAGTCCCAGGGATTAGAGGGCAAGAAAGGCGGGCGTGAGTTCAAGCAGAGTAGCGGGTCGGACGCAAATGGGTCCGCAGGGAGATGTGCAATGGTATTTGCAATAGTTGGCGCTTGGATGCAATGGCTTGCGGGTCGGGTGCAGTGGTTGCGCGTGGACGCAATTATTTCAATGCAGTGGAAGGTGCCCGTGCAGGAGTTCGCGCCCTTCCACAATTAATAGTTGCGCACCACTGCACGCACCAGTACACAGTTGATTGCGATTGCACTTCTCACCGCAGACTCATCTGCACCAGATCCACTGCTTCAGATTAGAGGGAGGGCAAGAGGAGGGACAGCGAGAGGAGCAGAAGGAAGGGAGAGGAGATCCATGAGGTGGGGGCAGTCCTGAGCTCATGGTCTCTCTGCAATTCTGCAACAATTTCTCTATGACCGTCGTGCGCTGTCAGAGATAGCATCATTCATTTTTCGCGATAGCGGCAGTTACCGGCACCGGCCGCCCCCCCTCCCCCTGATGACGTCACGATTCGTACTGACATCCGAGTTGTCTGTGGTTCTTCCTCTATGTTCCCAGACGGCACTGGCGCGAAACGTGAGGTTACTGGCCCCCTCCCCCCCCGTGTCGCTCGCTATCGCCCAGGAATGACAAGTAACGCTCAAGATAGAGAACTCCTCAGGCGTGATTCAAAATCGCTCTCCCTCACCCGCGACCGGCTGTCCCATCTTGGGAACGCCTCGTCTGGGTGGAGAGGCACCACGAGGACGACAAGGAGGAGGAGCGACGGGGGTCGCGAGGGTGTCCGGCCGCGCCAGGCCGGCCAGCGGTCCAGCTCCGGGTCGAGGCGCTTGCAGTTGCTGTCTGCCGCGTTGCTCACGGCCTGCGCCCGGCAAGGGCAGCGGCGCGGAGCGCCAGCTGCTTCCTAGCGGCCAAGACGGCCCAAGGAGTGCCCAAAATCGCCCCAAAACGACCCAAAAGGGCCCAAGAGGTGCCCAAGAGGCCCCCAAGACGGCCCCAAGAGGGGCCCACAATGGGGAACACGAATTGACATTTTGAGCCCTCCGCACCAAGATGGCCCCGAATACCTCCAGAAGCCCCCGAGGTGCCCAGGGAGAGGCCCAAATCAGGCCCCAAGTGGCCCCCAAGGCGGCCCAAGAGATCCCCAAATCAGTCTTCAGTATACATCCGACAGGCCTCCTAAGGGATCCTCATGGGCATCCAGGAATCCTCTGACCTACAACCCTGGCAAGGTGGCGGGGTGGGCCGAAGGCCACTAGATAATGAGCCGAATGATGATAATATGAATACACATAAGCATCGTCACTACCACTACCAACATCATCGTCATCATCATCACCACCACTACCATCATCACCACCACAAACACCACCCACCGACACCAACATCACCATCGTCACCATCGTCATCATCCTCATCATCACCATCATCATCACCATTACCATCACCATGACCGTCATCATAACCACCATCATCAACATCATCATCAGCATCATCCGTTTCAGTATCAACATCATCTTCATCACCATCACCATCGTCATCATCCTCATCATCATCATCATCGTCACCAACATCATCATCACAATCAACATGATTCGTATCATTGTGTACCGTCACAACCACCACCACCACCATCACAATCATCATTGTCATCAGCATCGCCACTATCATCATCATCCGCCGCAGCACCATACTCGTAGTCTCAATCATCAGCATCAGCATGATCATCACCATCATCACCATCATCAGCTGCAGCATCAGCATCATCATCAGCATCACTTTCACCATAACCACCACCACCACCATTATTATCATCATCATCATCATCATCATCATCATCATCATCACCATCACCATCACAATCACCATCACCACCACCACCACCACCATCATCATCATCATCATCATCATCATCATCATCAACCTCATAATCAGCATCAGCATCAGCATCAGCATCATCAGCATCATCAGCATCATCATTATCATCGTCCTCTCATCCTCATCCTCATCATCATAGTTATCATCGGCCACCGTGCCTCTGGGCGCGGAGGGGGCGCGTCCTCACGTTCTGTGCCTAATCTCTAGTGCCTCAGTCCTCAGCCCAACCTTCCAAAATCTACCTGGGCTTGTCGTGTGCCCCCGTGGGCTCCAGGAAGTGGTTCCGCATGACATGTTCGAGCCCGAGAGGGTCCGAACACGGGCCAAGAGGGCACAACGAGGCCCCGAGTCGCCGAAAGACCGTGCCAAGACGCCCAAGATGCCCTCACGGTGGCCCAAGAGGCCTCCAAGACGCCCCACGAGGCTTCCAAAAGGCCCCCCCGAGTGGGCCCCAAGAGAAAACAGTTATTGATTGTTCTTAGGCCTCGCCTTTTCGGCTTTCTGGCGCTACAAGGCGGTCCAACAGGCCCAAGACCACCCCAAGATGGGAAAAGAAACCTCCAAGAGCGCCACAAGACGGCCGAAGAGCGCCTCAAGACGGCCCAAGAGGCGCACAAGACGGCCGAAGAGGGCCCAAAGACGGCCCAGAAGGGGCCCAAACACGAACCGAAAATCCGAGACTTCCGCCCCAAGAGGCCCCCAAGAGGCCCCAAGGCGCCCAGGATGCCCCAAGAGGCCCCCAAGAGGCCCCACACAAGAGGCCTCCAAGAGGCCATAAAGAGGCCACAAGAGCCACAAAACGGCCACCAAGGGGCCTCCAAACTGCCTCCAAGACGGCCCCCGAGATTCCTCCCACGCGATCCCAGCTCTAACATCCAATACGCTTCATTAGAGGCCTCCTAGATGGAGTGCGAGTAGATGGGGTCGGAAGATCTCGCCGCATCGCCGATACATCGGCGATGCATCACGGATGCATCGCCGATGCGCTGGCGACGTCGGCGTGGACAAAATTGGCCCCCCCATCGGGCCGCATCGCCGATGCATGGGCGAAACGGCGCGATCCTCCGACCCCATCTACTCCGACCCCATCTAGGAGGCCTAGACTCATAGCCACAACCCAGGCACGGAACCTGGATGGGCCGAAGGCCATAATAACCGCGGGTCCCTTGTGATTTATGCGTGTCCGATGTCTTACAGTCGGGCTTAATTGGAGAGGACACGCGACAGGACACAAGAACCTTCCTAGGGCCGCATTGCCATAGGAATGTAGAAGGCATGGGTCTCGAAACACATGACACAAGGGTACCCTAGATCTGGCAGGGTCGACCTACTAATCAACCTCGACTGTAAAGACTGCTGCTTCTTTCCAAGACTCCCCCTGTGACTTCGGCTCATTGCTCCGACCAACCGACAAGCTCCGGGAGGGGTGGATGGCTCCAAGGTGCCACAAGATGGCCTCCAAGACGGCTAAGATGACCTCCAAGTTTGCCCAAGATGGTCCCAGATGACCTCCAAGAGGCCCAAGAGAGTCCAAAATGCCTTCAATTGCGCCCAAGACGCCTCCAAGACGGCTCAAGACGGCCCCAGAGGCCCTCAAGAGGACGGCACAAGTCCTCCAAGACGCACAAGATGGCCTCCAAGACGGCCCTGAAACACCCGAAAAGGACCCCAAGAGAGACCCAAGACGCCGTGCGTCGTCGGGGCCAGAAACGCCCTAAGACGGCCAAAGAGGCGCCCGAGAAGCCCCCCAACGCCCACAAGAGGCCCCCAAGACGGCCTCCAAGAGGCCTCAAACAGGCCCCCAGGAAGCTCAAGGAGGCCCGCAGAGTGCTTCAAGTGGCTCCCAAGAGGCCTCCTCCTCCTCCTTCTCCTCCTACTCCTCTTCCGTGTTCCTCCCTCTCCTCATCCTCATCTTCCTTCCCCCACGTGTTCCCCGAAGGGTTTCCACAACCGGTGGGTGAACGCATGGTCCAATGAATAGCGTGCCCTAACTTTTGCGAAACGGTTCTCCACATAGGCGGATCTTAAAAGGCAGGGGGCGGCGGTGATTCGCCGCATGCGTCTTCGATAATACGAATCCTCCTCCTCCGCATCATCATCACCATCACCATCACCATCACCATCATCATCAGCATCATCATCAGCATCTTCATCATCATCATCAGCATCATCATCATCATCTTGTTATTCGTCATCATCATCATCATCATCAGCATCACCATCATCATCGTCGTCATCATCATCATCATCATCATTATCTCATCATCATCAGCAACAATATCATCGTCATCGTCATAGTCATCGTCGCCATCCCCAGCACCGCCACACATAATAATCCCCTGAATCAGCATCGCCATCATCATCACCATCACCATTACCATCACCAACATCACCACCATCATCATCAGCATCGTCATCATCACAATCATCATCATCGTCATCATCATCATCATCATCATCATCATGATCATCATCATCCGCGTCATCCTTATCCTCATTAACATCACCACTATCACCATCGTAATCGTCATCGTCGCGCCGTCGTCCTCGTCCTATTTGCATCGTCCCTCATCCTATTTCGCATCGTCCCTCATCCTCCTTCTTCTCGTCCCTAGTCCCACATGTTTTCGCACGATCTTGTCTTCTTCTCACCCTACTCAATTTTCAATTCTGGCTCCTTGCGTTTCCTCCTCCTTCTTCTACCTTCCTGTCGTTCACCCTCCCCCTCCTCCTCCGCATCCTCCTCCTCCTCCTTCTCCATCCCTTTCATTTAGATGTTCCTCATCTCCTCTTCATACTTGCCCTGTGTGGTCTCAGAGCATGGCTCCTGAAAACCTCATCCTCCTCGTCCCGCTTCCTCCCTCTATTCCCTCCTCCTCCGCCTCCACCACCACCTACTCCGTTTTCAAGCACATGTGGATCGAGCGGTCCGTCGCTTCGGCTCGGTTCCTCGCTAGTCACGCCCCTCCTCTTCACGTGGCGCTTAGGGGACGCCAAGGCTAGTGGAAAGTGGGTTTAAGCTCTTCGTGGCGACGAAGAGAGGCAGAGCGTGTTAACTTGAATTTCGGTAGCATTATGAATGATGTCAATGCTCGCTTCGAGGGCGGCGCTACAGCGGAAGGTCTAGCTCACGTGATTCGTGAATGGGAGCCCTCGGATCTAGAGATTAGCCTTATGAAGCGGCACGCCCGACCCAATCTGAAGCAGCTTGGAGTGAGCACGCAAACCAAAAATGCGTGTTGTACGAAGAAGTGAGCCATGTTCAGACAACAGCGGTGGTGTTCACCCTGCGCAGCTACCCACCAACGTCGTGCTGGGAATACGTGGGGGTCACTTCTGCGGAAGTACACTGGGCATGTGCCAGATCATGTTGAGGGCAGGTTCGTGTACGACTGCATGGCGTTCGAAACTATTGTTGGGCAGCTTCCTCACGCGACGGTGGTTTCAATCAGTCGCCGCACGGACCTAATTAGAAATGGGGCGCACGCCAGCGCATGTTGTATCTATGGGCCAGGTGCCTGGGTATCGCCCCAAAGCATGCAGCCAAGCGCCAGACGAGTCGAATCATTATTTTCAAAAGGATCACGGTTTGGTTGCGAAGGTTAGCACGGGCGGCCAGATAGATCTAGCAGACGGTGGTTTCAATCAGTCGCCGCATGGACCTGATTAGAATAGGGGGCACCCCAACGCATATTGCATCTATGGGCCAGGTGCCCGGGCATCGCCCCAAAGCATGCAACCATGCGCCAGACGAGTCGAGTCATCATGTTCAAAGGAATCACGGTTTGGTTGCGAAGGCTACCACGGGCGGCCCGATGGATCTAGCAGACGGTGGTTTCAATCAGTCGCCGCACGGACCTGATTAGAATAGGGGGCACGCCAGCGTAGATTGTATCTATAGGCCAGGTGCCTAGGTACCGCCCCAAAGAATGCAACCATGCGCCAGACCAATCGAATCATCATTTTCAAAAAGGGTCACGGCTT